CAGGGAATTGAACATTTCAATGGCCACCAACACCGAGAGGGAGAGCGTAGATGCTTTGATTTTCCCCTGTTGGAAATAGTCGCAGGGGTTTGAGTCAAATGAGAAAGTCTGAGAGCCAGCTGTGAAAGGAGACACTTTGAAGCCTTCCCATGAAGAGCACTGCCCCCATTGAGCCAGCTGTGAGTAGCTCACAAGGCTGTGACCGTCTTGGCTCAAGTCTATGCCCATGAAGCTGTTGTGTGTGTACCATATGATGAATACTCCCACCGTTGCTACTCCCACATACATACCAATCACCTGTCGATAGTGTAGGTACCCATAATTGTCAAAAGCACCATACGATGAACAACAAGACAACAAAGAAGACGANAAAATTACCAGATAACGGAAGAGGATCCAGGCAGTGATAAGTGAGTCATCGCTTCTACGTGGAGGCTTCTTCATAATATCCTTGTCAGGGGGATTGAATCCCAAAGCTGTAGCTGGAGGACCGTCTGTTACAAGATTCACCCACAGAAGCTGAACTGGGATCATGCCTTCAGGGATTCCAAGAGCAGCGGTCAAGAATATCGATGCAACCTCACCAATGTTGGAAGAGATCATGTACCTTTTATTCATCATAGTCAGATTTATAGGATCAGTATTTATATAACTCAAGACACCAATTTAACGCATAAAAAGTACATGAAAACAGAAGACTCACCTAATGAAAGCCTTCATGTTGTTATAGATGGACCTGCCTTCACCAACAGCTGCAACAATAGTGCTGAAATTATCATCTGCTAACACCATGTCAGATGCCTCCTTTGCTACCTGCAAAAATCCCGTTATTGATAGGTTTAGAAAACTGACAAAGCCATAATCATGCCGTTGTTGCAGATGAGACAGAAGAGAGACAAATACCTCGGTACCGGAAATGCCCATAGCCACACCTATATCAGCCAACTTCAGTGCAGGAGCATCATTAACTCCATCTCCAGTCATAGCAACCACTTCTCCATCTTCTTTCAGTAACCTGACAATCTCTTGTTTGTGCTTTGGTTCAGCCCTTGAGAACAAGAGCCCTCCAGTTTGTCTTAGATGATTCTTCTGATCTTGAACATTCATAAATTCGTTTCCTGTCAAGCTTCTTGAAGAGATATCTTCANCTGCTTCAAATACGCCAATTTCACGGCAGATCGCTTCCGCTGTGCTTTTGTTGTCTCCAGTAATAACCANGACCCGGATACCAGCTGTTCTGCAGTCTGCAATGGCTTGACGCACCTCTTTCCTCGGAGGATCCTTCAATCATCGAAAAGGTAGAATATGAATAAATCACAAAAGAGAAAAAAGAATGGACAAAATCTATCACGGTAATTGTGACTCACCCTTAAACCAACAAATCCAACGAATACTAGATTGGACTCAATAGAAGAATAATTGGATGGGTTGAGAAGTTGCTGGTGAGCAGGATGGTCTTCATTGCCATCATAAGTGGCAAAATCTGATGGANCATCTGAGTATGCAAATCCGAGACATCTTAATGCACTCAAGGACATATCACGTAGGCTTTGTAAAATAAGATCCCTTGAGTATTGGTCAAGTTCTTGAGTGGAGCCATCAAGTAACTGAAAACGAGTACTCCTTTCCAATAAATTTTCTACCGCACCCTGCAAAATTTCAGTATCGGTTTTCTCAACTAATAAAATGTATCCATGAGAACTAAACCACAAGCCACATAATTATAGATAACAGGTTCTCCAAAGTATAGTATACAAAGCTTCACAGGGTCAACCTCAGGAAATGGAATATGCTAAATGAAGAACAACAGACCTTAACCAGTAGCAGTTTCTTTCCTGAGCTGGAATCCACCATAACTCCCATTGATTTCCGGTCACGGTCGAACTCAAGAGTGGCAATTCGTTGTTCTAGTTCACTCCATAGCCGACAACAACCTTCAATGATGTTAAAGAAGGTAAAGTGTTTAGCATCTATAAAAGCGTAAAACACATGAGTAACACAGATAATTCAGAATACATACGTAAAACATCGTCGTCAGCCAAAGACGAAGCTTTATTTGATCCTTCAGGAAATCCCATTTTCTCAACCAAAACCTGATCAAGGAAACAAACACAAATAAAAAAAATGAAGATTAACATTTAACATGTGTTGAAATTTGATCACAACAAACACGGAAGAAGTCTATTTAGTTAAGAAGAGAAAGGTGCAAGCTAGTGTATTTGACCGCTTTACCTTCAAAGCTGCCTCAGTAGGCATGCCCCTAGACACAAACTGTTGGTCAGATTGCTCGACACTAGCATCGTTGCAAATGGCAGCAATTTTTGCAATCATCTGAAGATTTGCATCCATCCGACCCGCTGGCCAATCTTCAATCTTTCCATCTCGAGGATCAAAGGAGGTCCCCTCAACATTGAAAGATCGAAGGGTTCCAATCCTAGAGCCCATAGCAACAAGCTTTGAAACAGCCATCTGGTTGGTTGTCAGAGTTCCTGTCTTATCAGAGCATATAACGGTTGTGCATCCAAGAGTCTCCACGCTGGGCAGCTTCCTAACCAGAGCATTCTTCTGAGCCATCTTCCGTGTGCCAAGAGCCAAACATGTGGTAATAACTGCTGGCAGACCTTCTGGAATTGCAGCAACCGCCAATGCTACAGCAATCTCAAAGTAATATGTGCACTTCTCGAAGGAGAATTTAAAGTTTCTGGGCCAGCCATCAACATACTCCCAGGACAGAAAGTACTTGACATTGATGAGCCACACTAACGCACAAATTAACCCAATGATCACTGTCAGAGCTTCCCCGAATTCGTTAAGTTTTTTCTTCAGAGGGGTATCTTCCTCGTGTTGGGCAGCTTCCTGAATCTGTGAGTGTACCCTTCCAATCTCAGTACTCATCCCAGTGTCTGTAACTAAGCATATGCAGTTGCCATTCACAACGGTGGTTCCTGCAAACACCATGCATTTCTTTCCTTGAATATCGGCATTCTCATCGACATGCTTGGTTGTTTTGCTCACTGCCTCACTCTCTCCTGTTAAGGACCCCTGCTCGACTCTCAGCGTTGAGCTGATCAAAGCCACCACACGCATATCAGCAGGCACCTTATCACCAACCCTCAGCTCCACAATGTCACCAGGAACAAGCTCCTTTGCAGGCAAACTCAAAATCTTATTCCCATCACGCATGACAGTTGCTTGCTGAGACTGTATCTCTTTCAAAGCTTCCAATGCTTTCTCGGCATTAGTTTCTTGCCAGATACCCACAATGGCATTAACAATCAAGATCAAGAAAATCACAAGCGGCTCAACAAATGCGGTAATCCCCATCTCGCCTCCTTCGTCGCCATCAAGGAAAGCCAAGACAAAGGAAATAACAGCTGCGGCTAAAAGAATCCGAACCAACGTATCATTAAACTGCTCCAAAATCAACTTAAAAATTGATGTACCCTCAGGCTTCTCTAACTCATTCAAACCGTAGATCTGATGACGCTTCAACACCTCATCACTAGTTAACCCTTTCTCACGACTAACACCGAAATGTTCTTCGCATTCCCCAACATCTTTACCCCAAGCAGGAAAAGTGTTTGGTATCGAATTCAAGCTTTCCTTCTTCCCGAGATCTTCCGATCCTTTCCCCATGAATTCACACTAGCAGCGAAAACTAACAGATTCGCGGAAAAACTCCAGGAAGATCGCCAAACCCTACGATTCAACTGCAATTATCAAAAAAAAAAAAATCTGAGAACGAATATCCATGATAGTTCCTCTCAGGAATTTTCGTCTAATACTTCACTCAAAGAA